ATAATATCGTCAGCATCATTTTGTTGATTCAAATCTTTTCTTCATCTCTGATAATATTGTCTAAAATTCCCTACCAAGATATGAGAGCAGATATTACATAACACTTGAGTACATTTTTTATTTTTCTAACGAAATATTTTTGTTTCTTAATACATTTGAAAGGCCACTTTCACTACTTCAATGCGCCTTCGGATTTCGGTGTCGCATTCTTTATACTAGATAATTAAATTTTTGCACTTGATTTTCGTCTCCCCTATATCTAAATCACTTGTTGGTCTGTCCCTTTTGTTGTTAGCTGTACTCTCTATGTCTACATTATCAAGTGTACTTTATTGTATAAATAGTCTACCCATGCCACAAGAAATGAAATAAGAAATGAAAGCATTTTAATGATGCATTTTCCAAATATTATTTTTCTGGCTTGTCTTTCAGTGAATTCTTTTCCCAAAATAGATTTCTAAACATTTTCGAATAGTGGCTAGAAAAACATACTGCCACCTTGAGTCCCCATTACAACTCATTGAGTAAAATATTAACATGCATTACAGTCATTACTTGCAAATAGGAGTTTTTGGATTATATATATATATATATATATATATATATATATATATATATATATATATATATATATATATATATTATCCTCACCGGAAGCTTGACTTTGGAATTTCATAACAACGCAAACTTCAGGTGCTGGGTAGAGATTAACTATATATTTAGCGAAATGTAAAGAATTTGAAAAAGAAATTTTAACGTTTTTTTTTGTTTTTTTTTGTTTGCTTTTTTCAAAAACATTAAAATTTTATTGATTCAAAAAAAATTAAATTAAACTTTTCAGCATTGACAAGCCTCAGGGTGATTATCCCGTGGCGGGGATGAAATGACCATCAAAATGGGGCACAACTGAGTTTCATTTTTATGTAATTCATATATATACATATATATATATATATATATATATATATATAGATAGATAGATAGATAGATAGATAGATAGATACGCGTGTATGTATACATATATGTATGTATGTATATTATTTTCAAATAGAGTATGTCTGTAAAGAAACAGAATGAATACAAAGACACAAGAGGAAAATCTATTTTTAACCAACACTTTTCAACCTCTGAGGGACTTATCAATGAAATGTAAGATTTATTTTGTTGCACGTTTTTATACACAAAAGCGAGGATGTCATTCGTTTTAAATCTGAGAACATTCATAAATGTTCATTAGAAGGTTGAAACATCGATCAAAACATGTGGAGGACCAACATTCTGCAAAAAATAAGCGAGTAATCATACTTATTATAAAACCCAGGTTGTGTGTGTGTGTGTGTCTGTACGTTTATATATTGGATCGGATTTCCTACATTTTTCAACCGATTTCAACAAAACTTCACAGAACTACATAAAATTACCTTGTGGTGGTTCTGACAGCGCCAAAAATTGGAAAAACACAATTGTTTTTGTACGAAATCAATTTGGAAACACGATTAAGAGGCATCGCTGTCGCGAGAATGAAAGGTGAACAACTCATATCAAGTTATTATAAAACCCAGGTTGTTTGTTTGTTTGTTTGTGTGTGTGTGTGTGTGTGTGTGTGTGTGTGTGTGTGTGTGTGTGTGTGTGTGTGTGTGTGTGTGTTCGTTTATATATGGGATCAGATTTCCTATATTTTTCAACAAAACTTCATTTTTGCGGGTGGGCAGGTAGTGTTTCTTATTGTCTTGCACACTTTTTCTTTATTTTTATATTCAGAATGCTTTAAAAATTCCATTTACAAGACAATTGTTTATAATAAAATTCTATTCAATCGGTAGACTCATAACGATTGAAGACAATGTTTTTGTTTGCGTTTGACCAATTTAAAAAAAAAAAAAAAACTAATTAAGACATGCGTGTCCGTCAACCTTAAACAATAATCCTTGTCAATTTTATTTTTCAGTCTTTATGATGGTCGATACTTGATCTATCTCTTACTGCCAAATCCCCGGGCAACGCCGGGCCCTACTGCTAGTATTCAATATTTTTTAATGAATATTGATTATATTGTAATTAGATTGTTATGGTTTGAGATGGGCGTATATCTTCAAAAGCATGTGAAGAATTTGACAGTTTTTTTTTGTTTTTTCAATATAGTTTTTTCAATATATATATTTTATATATATATATATATATATATATATATATATATATATAACCTCTTTCAATTAAGGCTAATGCATTCAAAACTTTCCTTAGCATTAACTCAGACATTTTGTGACTGAAAAAAATCAAAATGGATAAATTCTGTATCAATTTTTCGAATGCTATCAAAGTTAAATTACAAATTTCTAATTTCGACATCGGGTATGAATAAGACAAACGTACTTTCTCATTGGTTGAAAAAGATCTATACTCACTAAATGAGGTAACTTTGGATTTTATATATATATATATATATATATATATATATATATATATATATATATATATCCAAAGGCGACAGTTTCATGCTAAACGCAATCATCAGGGCATTGCGTTTAGCATGAAAATAGACCGTTGCCTCTGGTTATTGACTTCAATGTATACTTTTATATTTATATACGCTCTATCGATGATATTGAGCATTTTAACCCATAAATATAGTATGCCATAAAACTATATTATGTGTGTGTGTGTGTGTGTTAAGATTTTGCTTCGTATTCTGATTGGCTCTAAAGTTCAGTGTCAGATTTTAATATTCAGAAGCAAACGCACGATTCGATTGAGCTTGTTTATTTGTAAAACTCTGGTAGCTCGACAATATGAGGATAAGAATTCGCTTATATTGATGACGGACCTGCAAAACAATAACCGAATTTGGTAGTGATAAAAAAAATTTACTCTTCGAGTTAATTTCTTTTTAAAAAACAAGTATTTTTTTATTATACACATTCAATAATCACTGGAAAAATCTTTTTATCTGTATTTCATTTCCACTATTGCAATTATAATTGTGTATTTATATAATAATAAAAAGTTTCCGCAGCTAGACTGGAAAAATAAAAACAATTTACATCTTCTTTGTCACTGTGATAGACAACAATACAATCAGGTGATGGTATTTTACTATTTTCCCCACCCAACTACATTTGACCTGTTTTGCGCTAAACAGGCTTGTGTCCAAATATATATATATATATATATATATATATATATATATATATATATATATATATATATATATATATATATATATATATATATATATATATATATATATATATATATATATATATATATATATATATATATATATATACAAGTGTAGCGTAGTAGTTATCGGAACGGTGTCAAATGTGCTTGGCAAATAGATTTCAAATTCTAGCCAAGGTCGTTGCGTTCTCTTAAGCGGAAATGTATGAATCTATTTCTTCTTCCCCTGCTATAGGTTCAATTGCAGAGTAGTCAAGTCACTCTAACTTTAGTTAGCAATCACAGATAATGAAAACACTGATAGCTGATGATATATATTTCGAAATATCATTTCCGACTGTTCACCGTTTCTGTTATCAGTTTCTTTCCAAAATGTGACCAGCTCTACACAATCTCCATTACTATAATCAAATCATCTATTGGTAGACTAATGTTTCATTGCTAAAACTGATTTATTCAATTTTGATAATTCAGGAACGCGTCCTCAATATAAGAGAAATAAGAAATGTTTCTTATCGCAGTGAATTAAGAATAAATTTGATTACGCACAATTAACCTGTTATTGGTCCGTGTATAAATAATCATACTTATTATAAAACCCAGATTGTGTGTGTGTGTGTGTGTCTGTACGTTTATATATTGGATCGGATTTCCTACATTTTTCAACCGATTTCAACAAAACTTCACAGGACTACGTAAATTTACTTTGCGGTGGTTCTGACTGTTTTTGCATGAAATCAATTTGGAAACACGATTAAGAGGCATCAGGAGAATGAAAGGGGGACAACTCATATCGAGTTATACTTATAAAACGCAGGTTGTTTGTGTGTGTCTTTGTTCCTTTATATATGAGATCGGATTTCCTACATTTTTCAACCGATTTCAACAAAACTTCATTTTGGGGGAAGGTAGTGTTTCTTATTGTCTTGCACACTTTTTTTTATTTTTACATTCAGAATGCTTTAAAAATTCCATTTATACGACACTTGTTTATAATAAAATTCTATTCAATCGGTAGACTCATAACGATTGAAAACAATGTTTTTGTTTGAGTTTGGGTTTGACCAATTGGTAAAAAAAAAAACAAAAAAAAAAAACTAATTAAGACATGCGTGTCCGTCAACCTTAAACAATAATCTTTGTCAATTTTATTTTTCAGTCTTTATTTTTTTCAGTCTTGATCTATCTCTTACTGTTAAATCCCCGGGCAACGCCGGGCTCTACTGCTCGTTACATATATAACGAGAATTATTCAAATGTGTTTTATTGTTTTTGTCAAGTAATATATGCAATAAGTTTCTCATATTCGCATTTTATCCACCAGAACCCGAGTAAGCTTAGTTTTGTGGCTCATTGATCTGAGTACATCCGCTGGAGCTCGCATTCATTTACACCTGGCGGATTATGTTCTCACTGGCGTATATTACATTTCTTATATTCGTAATCGTGTCGACGCTTAAATCTATGGCTGATAGCATCTAAACTACAATTCCAATCTGTTTTTTCTCCGTGGCGATTTTACGTCAGACTTTTTTTTTTTTAGGGTCGTCCATGTTTTTGTGTATAATGAGTTGCATTTTTTGTCGTTTAAGTGTTTTCAAGTGTGTTCGTTCCATTTTTGTGATATTTTCTTTATCTTTTACACACGATACTATTTATATTCTCTGCTATGAGTTTGTACGGGCGACCAATGAGTATAAAGTGCTAAATAAAATAAGAACTAGACAAAATATCCGGAGACATGAGCAGTAGATCGAGAACAGTCTATCCACGTACATTACATAAATCTCTTTCTTCTTCCCTTTTCCCTTTCTTCTTAGCTTTTCCCTTTCTTTGTTTCTTTTTTCTTCACTTTTTTCTTTCTTCTATTTCCCTTATTTTCTCCTTCTTCTTGTCTTTTTCTTTCTTCTTCTTGTTTCCTTTTTTCTTTTTCCTTTCTTCTTTTTCCCTTCCTCCTCCTCTTTTCCTTTTCTTCTTTTCTTTTCCTTTTCTTCTCTTTTTTTTACCGCCGTCATTTATATCTTAGTTATTGTCACATCAGCTATCAACTCAACGACGACAAACAACAGCACTGTCACCAATACGTTTAACATCGTGTTGACCGCCCCGATAATGTATTAAATAATAATAATAATAATAATAATAATAATAAAACACTCACCTGATCAGCAATATTTCTTTCTTGACTATTGGCTTTATTATCATAACGCAACATCTATTTTCAACTGGCTTTCAATTTCTCTGCTTTTCTCACTCTCAACCTTCTTTCTCAGATTTTGGTAAAAATATTTTCTCAATCTACGTCTCATCCAGTTCCCCTTCTCACACACTACACATCATTTTTATCACAGTTCCATCTTCACATCGTTCACTGCGTCACCTTTCTCCCTCCCTTTCTCTCTCTCTCTCTCTCTCTTCGCCACATTAACTAGGTGCGAATAACTTTTCCATTCACCGCCAGGGGGCAGTGTCACTATCAGACTGACGAGGCCCGAAGAAATTTGAATGAATTCTTAGTGGTGAAAGTGTCGGCAGGGATGGTAGAATTTGGAGAAATAAGGGGGGCGTGCAGATCATAACATCAGCAGTTCTCCTTTATGCTATATTTTATTATCTAATTTTTAATTTCATTTTTCTTATTCCTACCTTCCTTCAACAATTTTAATCAGCTATTGCAACGGATATCAACACAGTTCTTCTTCTTCTTCTTCTTCTTCTTCTTCTTCTTCGTCTTCTTATTATTGTTTCTTCTACATTTTCTTCATCTTTTTTCGGCGGTTTTTTCATCGTCTTTTTCCATTTCTTTTTCCTTTTCTTTTTTCCGTTTTTCTTTTTCGTTTTTTCTTTTTTACGTTTCTTCTTTTTCATCATCCTTCGCTATTTCTTCTTTTACCATTTTTTTCGTCTTCTTTTTAAGTTTCTTCTTTTTCATCGTCTTCTTTTTACGTTTTCTCTCAACGTCTTTTTCCCTTTTTTTTCTTTTTCGTCGTCGTCGTCGTCTTTCCGTTTTCTTTTTTTCTAGTTATTTTTTCTTACTAGTCCTTCTTCATTGGCTATTCTTTTTTCGTTTTTCTTCGTCTTTTTATTCTTCGTAGACTTCTTTTTTCTTTATCTTTCCTTTTGTCATATTGTTTTTTCCTCTAATTCTTCTTCTTCAGATCATTCATCTTCCTCTTTCTTTTTCATCTTCTCCCACAATTCGAGTTTGTCCTTTTTCTCCGTCTTCCATCTTTTCCTTTATCAAATAACTATCACTTTTAATGAAAAGTCAGTGTCTTTTGATTAAATAAAAAAATTCATAAACTTACTCTTCGCCTTGCGTTTTTCTTTCACTCTTATTGCTAAACCATTATTTTCAGCTGCCATCCATTTCAGTGTGTATATTAAGATATTTCCAAAATTATTTGTATAAAAGCGTGTCTATCTTCTTTTTTGCAATTTAGCCGTTTTACAAATAGGCACTTTTTGAGGCATTCATAAATATTTATCTACGTTTGTGCACGGGAGAATGTGGCGAGGTAATATATATTAATTATTTATTTCATTGTTCTCATTAATACTGTAATGGTAGTAAAAAGAAAAACAGATAAGCACAAGTAAAAAAAAAAAGAGAGAAAGAGAAAAAAAACAAGGGAAAAACGAAAACATGAAGTATAAGAATGAAATAGACAGTAAAATCAAAGAAAAAAAGAAAAGGTTAACTAGAAGAAGAAAGAAAAAATTACAGATCAATTTATAAAAAAAAAGGTATGGGAATCCAGAAACAAGCATTAAAATGAAAGAATGAAAACGAGAAATAATGAAACAAGAAAAAACTGAATAAAGCCGGAAGAAGGAAAAATATTTTTCAAGAAAAGCAAAATAAAAGAAAATGATGTAAAAATTGTAAAATAGAAATGAAAAAAACAGACGAGAAAGGATACGATGTACAAATATATTAAATTAAAATATGCATGTATCTCATTTTGTTTCTTTTAACTTCTATCTGTTCCTCCATTTCACTTTGTCCTTTTTTTCTCTTTCTCAATCTGGTACAAGCTTTGGGGTATTTGAATAGATTTTTCAATCTGTCAAGTTATCCACAGTTACCCCGTGTCTCATCAAACATTTTACAGATCCTTCATAAATACTCCACGAAGACATAAAGAATCATAGTCTCGTCAATTGATACTCTCTGTGAGACAGCTATTTCGTGCCTTAAGTTACCCGAACGTAGCAACGATGCAATGTAAGCTGCGTATCTGTGTGTTTGTGTGTGTGTATAACATAAGTATGCATGCATGCACAACGTATACTGAGAATCTATCAGCTCGATTCAATTGAGTAAAAGACCAAATCTGCCTAAATATTTATTTATATGTAAAAGATCTATATATACCTATATATATATATATATATATATATATATATATATATATATATATATATATATATATATATATATATATATATATATATATATAACGTCCAAAATGTTACTCACGGATATTTAGTTATTATCTATTCGGGTTATACATGTGTCTTTTATCTGTCAATTAGAACTAACCAAAAATCTTAACATACCTGTTTGTTTGCTCTTTTATTTCTGTCTCGATCTCTAACGAAGCTTTAATAAAAGTGAAAGATGTTAGATAGAGATACGTTTCCTACTTGTTCTTTATTTTATTTTATCATCTTTTCGGGTACGTATCCATGGTCTACATTTCATCTTCAACTCACGCGCACACAAATTCACACACACACATATATGTTTGTGTGTATTAATAATTTCAGTTGCCTATATATATATATATATATATATATATATATATATATATATATATCAATTTCAAGAGGATAGAATCCAGGTAGAATTCAATGTCCAGGACAGAGTAAGAATACAATATAAAAGGCTCAAAACTAATATGTCTGTGTGTGTGTACACATATAGATACTCACATATATATACATAGAATATGTGCCCATCTATGTGTTAGCAATTTATTTATAGGGATGTGTGACTAGCAATATGACTGTGTTTATAGATATACACAGGGTAGAAATAGAAATGAACACTGCATGGTGTGGGTCAATTTTACACGTCATCAGACCAAGCAATGAAGCCTCAAACCAACATTAATCAACATTTTATGCAGTCCTCTTTCTTTCTTTGTCTGTATATATATATATATATATATATATATATATATATATATATATATATATATATATATATATATATATATATATATATATATATATATATATATATATATACTAGATTTAACCAGTGGATAATTACAATAAAATTTCAGTAATGTTTTAAACCCACATAGACATGTTTACATATTATGCATACATATATATATATATATATATATATATATATATATATATATATATATATATATATATTCTCTGTGAGACTGCTATTTCGTATGTATATATGGATACACGTTTGTGTGTGTTTAAGTTAATGTTGATGTGTTATTGGCATTATCCAATGATTAAATCTGATTAAATTACTAAGGTTTTTGAGAAATGGATTATTGGTCAACCCGAAAACGTTTCAGAAAGCCTTTTTGCGCTATCGTTTTTCGATTTATTTATTTGGGTAATTTTTATTGTGTGTTAGTAAGGAATGTATTTTTCAGAATTGGGTAAATGATTCTATTCCCTTTTTTCTATTCACTGCATCCAATGCAACTTCACTTTATTCCAATCTACGCTATTCTTACTGCCGAAAAGAATATAAACGGCTGAAAAGATTTGCAAACTGCAATACTCACCACGTCAAAAACCCAATCGATGTTTCATAGTATTTCATAAATTCTTCTTCCTGTACTGATCCCCATTGTTATATGTTCCTCCTTTAAATTCTCACCCGGAATTTTCAGTCCCTTCTCTTTGCAACAACTACCCATTGTTTTTCCACCCACACACGTTGATTTACAGAAATCAGAAATGATTTTCGTTTTTCGTCTTTTTATCTTCTGTGTCAATTCTTTACATTTACCTGGCGGCGATAATGAACAACAACGTGTTATTCCATACATAAAATAAGAAAATCTATAAAAGTAATCTCTCATCAATTATATATATATATATATATATATATATATATATATATATATATATATATATATATATATATATGGTAAATATACACATACATATGATAATATAAAATATATATATATATATATATATATATATATATATATATATATATATATATATATATATATATATATATATATTTATCATATATATATATATATATAATATATATATATATATATATATAATATATAATATATATATAATATATATAATATAATATATATATATTATTTGTAGGTCTGATGAATTGGATCGTATTTACGATTCCAATGGAATAAATTATGACCATGGAATATTTGTGTTTAAGCCTTTTTATTATATATATATATATATATATATATATATATATATAGAGAGAGAGAGAGAGAGAGAAGAGAGAGAGTGAAAGAGAGTGAAAGAGAGAGAGGGGAGATGAGGAGAAGTTTAGTTATCTGAAACTGAAATATGTACATGCCTGATCACGTCTCTATAAACACAAACACACACACACACACACACACACACACACACACACACATATATATATATATATATATATATATATATATATATATATATATATATATATATATATAGATATATATAAATTAAAATCTTCAGACACACTGGATTGTATATTAATATTCCTTCGTTTTTATTATTATTTCATTTAGATTCCACGACTTGTTTCGTCCAACATGGCCATCATCAGGAGAAAAATAATTTTCTGCTTGCTGGTAGAAGTGAACTACAGAAATGAATGTCTTGATGGAGAAAATGAACCTTTGTCTGTAGTTTTCATTTGTTTTTTTGATATTTTGATTTTTTAATTTTTTTTTAACATGAACTTTGGTCAGTCTTTGTGTTACTCAAACAGTCTCTTTTAAGTTGGTTATTTGAGATAAGTGCTGGCATAGTGTACATTCTATGAGGTAAATTATGTTATGACTTATACAGTTAGAGTTGTGGTAGATTTTGAAAGTAGATTTAGTGACTGAGCTAGTGAATGAATTCGTGTGTTTAATGTGGTTGCAGCATAAGCTTCTTTTGTTGTTACATGGTTGGGAAAACCCTGTTGTTTTTGCTGTTAGTTTATTACACATTACCTTGTCCCCTGAAATGTGGTTACTACCTATGATTTCTTTTAAGTTCTTTGGTTTACGATATGCTAGAAGGCCGGGTTCCTTAAACAATCTTTTAGGTCTGGTTTGAGTATTTCCCACCGACTTTTGATTATTTGGGATAGTGGAGGCAGAGTGGGGTTGAAAGTGGTTACTAGAGGGATGCGGCTAGATTTATTTTTAATCTTCTAATAAATTTTAATCTTCTAATCTTCTTCGAAGACTT